ATATTTCTCTGAAGCAAACATATGTATGTATGCTGTAATTTTATACATTTTCACATTGATGGAAAGGATGAGCCCCTTTTTCTCTCATTACTTTATGTATCCATGGGAAAATATTACTTATGCTAGAATGAGACAGGGTTTAACATCAATTCCACATCTGGTTTTCATTTTTATAAATATAAGCACTAAGCCCCTGGTTCATTGCCTAGAGCAATATCAACACCAATAATTTTAACTTTCCCTTCAGCCCCCAGATGGTTTTTATAGCCTGGAGCAATGCCATAGAGATGGGTGAAGTGAAGCCTTTCTTTTGCCAAATGGGAAAAGGTGATTGTGAAAGGGTGACCAACATGAGGCCTAGCAAGCAGGCAAGCTATTAGATCAACTTCAGGATAGGGAACCTAAGTTGAAGATCTTAACAACAAGTCTCTTTAGCTGTTCAGGACATCATTTTATATATAACTCCAGTGGACTAGTTTGAGGCTACTGGTAAAAGTCATACAACTAATTCCTCTGATTTGCTTGGTCAGTAAGAAGCATTCTGATTATAATGTCACTTGAATTTCCACTGGCCTGTGTGTAATATGTGGGTCATGTTAGCAGTAATAACTTAAATTACACTTAATTTTGTCCTTATCTGCTGAAAAGTCTTCTCATCTCTTACGAATTCCTCTGGTCCCTTGCCTCCCACTATTCCCAAATACCAGCTCTTAAATTTGAAGAAAAGTCCACATAGTCAATTCTTTAGCATCTCTTTCTGGGCACATGTACCAGTGCATCATAATTGTGTTTCCAAGCCATTAAACAGTAAAAATGTACTGGAAATACATCAAATATCAAGTCAAATTTTGGAATCTAAAATTACATTATTATTTTGCTAAATAAAGGTTTTAATGCCACATATTATTGTTTAACTGTCATATCTTATTTAATATAAAATGAGACATACAAATTTATATGTATATATATCAGGTTACCTGACATATATCTGTATAGATCTATCTATATATTTATTTATCTATATACATAGGGTTACCTGATATCTATCTACCTACCTACCTACCTATCTATCTATGGTCACCCAACTTAATTAAAACATGACCAGTAAATAGCTTTATATCTGTATGCTCTCTCTCTTTCTCATCTTGTTTTCCTCTCAGAGATGTCCACTAAACTAAATCCTATTTTTAGTATTCTCTTTCTTGTTAAGTATAAACTTTTATCATGTGCCTGTTTCCCTAAACAGTAATGTTTCAATTCTCATTATTGATGTTCAAAATAATTGCACCCTGTGTTTCTTCTGAAACTAGCTTACTTCATTCAGTATTTCAATGATTTATCCATATTATTACACATAGCTATGGTTTATTCATTTTTAAAGACATATGATACTCCATTGGGTACAGCAGCACAATTTATTCATATTCCTGGAATGAGCACTTGGATTGCTTTAATATTCTATTATAAACAATATTGGTAATAGAAATTTGTAAGAATTTCCCAAAGGACTGACACCTAGAAGTGGAATTGCTAGATATACACACAGTTTTGACTTTACAAGATACTTCTAATTATTTTCCAAGTTGATTAGACACATTAACATTTCCTCCATCAATGTATAATATCCCTTGTGCTTATATCCTCACCAACCCCTAGTATTATCAGATTTCTTAATAATGATACATCTAGTGACTATAAAATGCTACCTCTTTGAGGTCTTAATCTGGCAATCTGCAGACTAATAATAAGGTTGAACAATCTTTCGTGTTTATTTGCCATTTAGGTTCACTTTCCCATACCATTCGGCCATTCTCCAATAGGATTTTTATAGATTTGTTGGATTTTAAAATGTATATTCTAGATATTATTTATCTATGGTAGGCGATACATATTAAATACATCTGATTCATATACATTTTTCTCCTTCAGTACCCAGAGTTCTGCAGGGCCAGTACAATGGCCTTTGATACTGACTATTCTTCCTACGCTAGTAATGGCTCATATTTTTGTGGGACAACTAGTTTACAAAGTTCTCTCACAAATCTTATCTCACCTGAGTCTCTCAACAATGTTTAAAAGACAAGATGGGTATTATGTTCTTGTTTTATAGATAAGGAAGCAGAGTGGCTTGCCTTCAGTTGTAGGTCTATTAAGTCTTCAGACTCTGCATTCTATATCTTCCTTATGATTGCATGATGCTTCAGCTGTTTGTAGAGTATGGCCCAATCATTTAAGAAAATGCTGCACTTTTGCTTAGCATTTTTATCTTAGTTTTTTTCTCCCTATTCCTCTCTCATATATAACTCAAAATACAGCTTTATTCTATGAATTTTATTCTAATTTCATTATCTATAAGATGAACAAATAAGTAAAGGAAGCACCAAGAGAATTTTTATAGTTTTGAGAGTCTAGGAGTATACTAGAAATCACAAGAGTCACCTGTTCTGTTGAAAACCATGTTTTTTAAAAATAATGGGTCTTTTATGTAAGAGAGAGCTGAGTTCAACTTCAGTGTTTTTCTTCCCTTAACCTTTTAGACTTAAGAAGAAGAATGTAGGGAATAAAGAGTAGAAGAGTACACTTTGACATTTATCATTATCATGTAAGTTGGCTACTCTATGACAAGTAGCATTTAATTAATTTTTAAATACCATGCATTTGTTATATCAGATACAGTTAATACTTACTACACTTAGCATTAAATATTGACTTTATCATGGGAAATAATATTGGTAGGGCAATGATCCCATCACTAAACCTCCAGCTGAATCTCTTTGCACCTAAGCAGTTGGGTAGACATCCAACTTCTAGGAGAGACTAAGGAGGGGGAATTAAGAGATGTCCAAATTTAACATCAAATATTTGAGATGGTGAAAGGCAGTACTTATTACTTCCTGGAGTTGTACAATACATAAACTACTTGGGATAAATAAATTCTCAAGTTAATCCAACTATTGCATGTGAACTCTTCAACTTTTTGGCATTTCCATGAACAATTCTGTTGTTATAGATATTACACACACCAAAGAGAATATGTTTTATGAGACTAGCAGTAACAAGAAAGAATCTGGAGATAAATAAGGAAACAAAAATCTTACTCTGAGATATTTTAATCACCAGATAATAGTTAAGCACAGAAGAACTTCCTGGATACATCCTCTGATGAATAATACACAGATAGGGTCACATCATATCTTCTCCAAAGAGAAAGGTCTTTAATAGCAACTAGCTGTAGTCTAGGTAAGTATTAAATATGGCCTTTACCAGATCACCTTCTTGGAGTATTACAAACACATCTGCAGTTGTATACCTAGTATTCACTCATCAAATATTTCCACATCATTTCCAATGTCCATTTGGTCGGCTTGCCTGTTTTCATAAGTGCTGCCTTCTGTACGTATTTTGATCTGAGTCTGAAAGCTGTGTGTGTTATGTGATAAATACTGTATGTCTGATGATGAACTCTCTGTGTGTTTTCTTTTATGAGTCAGGCATTATACCAGACTCATACAACTCACGTTGAGTAGGGGATAATTATACCATAAAGTGGTAGCATGAGGTGTGCACTGGGAAAAGGGGAACCTAATGACAATGGAATTCAGATGTGTTTGGAGAGAACAAGATGAACTCTGTGTTGGTAATTCTGAGTTCCATATGCTTTATAGTTGTGTGTAAGGATATGACCCATATACTCTTAACGACCCATATACTCTTATTGTAAGAGGAGAGTCATTCTTAACTGAGCAGCTTCTAGTATCATCTAGTCCAGAGGATCTCAAAGAAACATTATCTATTTGACAGAAAGAACACTTCTTATATTTTTAATAAGTATATCTTCAAATCAACAACTAAAAAAAATTGTGTATAAGATGAACATATGTACAAGATGAACATATAATAAAATTCACTGTAGGACATGTGCAAGACTGGTGGAACATTGGGATAGCAGATCCATACAGGGACTATCCCAGGCAAATAAAAAACCTGGTCATCCTCTTTATGGAGAGAGGTGTCCAAGGCTTTCTATGAGACAAAGGTAGGAGGGTTGATTTGTTAGACTCCTTCCTCAGGAGAAAAACGTCTTAAATCCAAAGAGGCTTCCTGTACCCTTTTCAAGGGGGAAATCATGATAAGTCAAGAACATTGAACATTGAATATTGTACAAGAGTCTGAAAACCCTTTAATAAAAGGTGGTCTTTGTACTAATCTTTAGGGTTAGCAAGAAATGGGGGCTCTTGGAAATTGGAAATCATACCTTATAATGCCATGATATGGTGGGGGAATGAGAGAAGAGAGGAGAGGAGAGAAGAAGAGGGGGTGCGATGGAACACATCTGGAATTAAAAACACAACACAACACAACACTGGGGGTAATAGAGGAAATACTGTAAAATAGCTGACATGGTGCCTCAAGAACCTGATACACAAGACCACCATATCTAAGTGAGTTTGGGTGACAAGGCAGTACTATGAGAGGGTTTGAGAGCCAGGCCACCTGGTTCTCTAAGAGCAAGACCGGGGGCTCCTAGTGACACTCTGTTCCTTGAGTTGTCTGGGGCGGGGGTCCAGGAACTGCAGCCTGGAATCTGTTTGCTAGGATCACTTTGGAGGACCCTACTTAGGGCAAATGCAGGGCACAGTTAAACCGCAGCCTACACCTTGAGCAGGACAGCTTGCCCAGCCGCCGACTCCGCCCCTCGGCCCGCCCCCTTTCAGGCCCCGCCCCATTCTCCGACAGCTCCTTAAGTTTGCCAGCCGCCGGACCCTTCCCACTAGGTCCTCACTCAGCAATCAGGTCTCTGCCGACTTCCGGCGGCGGGAGCCGCCGGGTGCACTTACTGCGCGTGCGCGAGGCCCTGGCGACCCCCGGTGCTCAGTTCCCCTGTGGCGGGGACTTGGTACGGCCCAGCGGTTGGCGTACTTTGAGGCTCCAGTCAGGGGCGGGCTTTTCAAATTACCCATTTGAAGGAGAGGCGACAGCCAGGACTGGTTGCGCTGGAGATGGAGAAGCAGACCCTGAAGGGGCCTGAGCTCAGCCTGGCGGGGATTCCAGCCCAGCAGGTGAGTCAGGAGGGAGCCTGCAGCCCGGCGAGAGGGACTCCGCTGCAGCTTTACGCCTCGCAGTGTCTGGTGGTCGGGAAAGCCCCAGCCTCAAGCCCTGAAGACCGCAGTCGCCAGACACAAAGGGAAGGACTAGGAGATGCATTGTTGGGGCTATGAAGGACTTGGGCATCTGCACCCTCTGATTTTTCAGGGAGAAACTGAGGCCCGAAATGGGACGCGATGCCAGAGCCCCGCAGCGCGTTTCTCTGCACTCCTGTGCATTGCCCTCCACAGGGTTTGGGCTCTTGTTTTTACAAGTGTAGGTGGTGCTGGGGGTAGTGGGTGCCCCGGGATTTGCAGGAACGCCCTGGAGGACTGTTGACTTGGTGTCGGATTTAATGGAAAGCATGGTTCTTCAAGCGATGTTTATGCACAACATAAACTGTTGGTGGGAGGCGGGATGGAGAAGCAAATTGCAACCTCTCAGCTTTAGAAAATTGAAAGTTTGATAGTGAATTCTTTCCATATAATTAGAAAAGAAAAAGGGAGGACACTTTGAATTGGATATAAGCTTGACGCTTGCTTTTTTTCCCCACATTTTTATTGGTGCATTCTAGTTGTATGTATTGATGGATTTTGTTGATACATATTCGAATATGCACAAAATAAACAATATCATTCCCTAGTAGTTGGTGTTTGCTTTTTAGATATGATGTAAAATATATGTTAGAAACCTTTTAACTTAACATAGACCAGCCTTATTTCTTGGCAACATTACTTAAATATTATACTATCCACTCTTAACCATAATTATAAGATCTTAAAAGAAAACAATGACGTCTTTCAGTTGGATTTTCACTTCCTTTTTAATCTCTGCCTTTTACCTACTCATGAAGTGCAGTTGTTTAAACCATATGAAATTGCCTGTTTTGTGGGTATAATATTTGCAATTTCATATGGTGCACCTTATATCTTTGTTTATAAGCCTGGAGTTTCCTTAGTAGGTAATATGATTTTGAGAAGTCTTAAATAATACTGTGAAAAATAAAATAAAGCAAGATGTTAGGAGTTACAGTTTGGTAGTCTAGGACCTTTATTAGTAATTTGTGCTGTTTATGTCAACATTTAAAAATAAATATTTTGATTAAAATACTTAAAAAAAATCTTGTTAGGTACTTTGGCTGCCCCAATTTTTAGCATAATCTTGATTTCTAGTGAATTGACAATCTGTTGAGGTTCCTGTACTATCATATAGGTGTAGCTGTCTAGCTATATTTATTAGCTGTGATTGCAATAATATTTAGGAAGGATAGGAAAAAGAACAGCAGATAAAATCACAAAAGAAGTTTAATTGCATGGAATGAAAATGTTTAAATATTAAATATGCATAAGTGCTGGGTTATATACATGTGTTTAGCGATGTCTAAAGTCAAAATAATTTTCATGTGGAATTGCTTCTGTTGTTTGAACCTTGGAAGAAATCACAAAATAGTAATAGATTTCAAACAAGAAATATTTTATTTGGTGTATTTTTTTCTGTATAAATGAAATTGTCATCTAATAGGGGTAAGACTAAAGACTTTGATTTGGTCACATGCTAGGCAAAGACCTATTAAACCTTGGAGTCATCTCTGATTCCTCACAGCAGAGAACATTAGTTTCAGATTCAGAGTCAGGTCAAATCCAACTCTGCTTGTCCAGTTTTTATTAAGTTACCTGTCTTTTCTAAGTTTAGTTTCCAAAGTTGTAGAATGCTGTACAATTTTGATTAAATTGTCTTCTTTAATTCCAGTTTCCATAGTTGTATTGGCTATAATGCCTTTCTTAGAAAGTTGTTGGAACTTGAGAACCTCTCTAAAGTACTGAGTACAGCACCAGCACTCATGACATGCTTCAGAGATGACTATTATTATTATTATTATTATTATCATCATCATCATCATCATCATCATCCTTTGTCCCACTCATCTGAGCAATTGGGGCAGTCAACTATTTTTTATTTTAAAATGTCCAAGCTCTTGAAAAAGACTTGAATGAAAATTAAATTTGAGAAATAATACTACCTAATTGCTGAAAATTCAATGGATACAAAAATATGAGTTTAAGAATTCTCTGTCCAATTCCATTTTCATGGTAGTGCTAACTCCAGACCTTTTTCTGTACATGAACAATTCTTAAAATACACAAAATTTCTTTTGGAAAACTGCAATCCTATCATATATAGTCTTCTATAATTTTTCTTTATCTTTACCTTGGTCTCTTAGTTAAACTTGACTTTTCTTATCATTCATTAGTGAATGATAATTTCTATCGGAATTACTACTGGATAATGTCTATGTTGTCTTCCCAGCAGCCCAACTTCAATTTTTAAAAAAAATTAGTACTTAATAACAAAAATAAGGCCATTTTTTTGTACTTTCTTTGTGTTCTTCTAGCTTGTAAAACCAAGTCAATTTCTCATATATTCTGTATTTCTACTTTTTAAATTTTATTTATTTGTTGATTATTTATTTATTTATTTGCAGTGCTAGGGATCAAACTCTGGACCTGGCACAAGCTAGGCAAGTACTCTGTCATTGAGATATACCTCTAGCCTTAGATTTATAAAGTGTCCTCCTATTTGATTCTCAGCCTTGCCCTGTTCATTTATTTTTATCAGCCTAACTTTAAGTACTTACAAGATCAGGGCATCAATGTAGGTTTCTGTTTGACTTGATTATAAGCAAGCTCTTATTCAGAAAATTGAACTAGAAATAAGAAGAGGGTAGCTCCATCCCATTCTTTGCTATTCTGCAGATTTGTATTCAAACACTGCAAAGAGGGATAAGTACAAGGAAACATGTTTTTGTCATTGGTCTTAATCAGCCTTGACTCTGTCTGGCCATTTCCTTGTGGCTGAGGCAACAACAGATGATTTTAGCCCCCTACTCTTCTTTGAGATCAGTAACCGTCACCATTGAATGCTCAGTAGTTGCCCTCATTTCCTCCCTAGGATCACTTTGTTGCATTTATTAACTAAAAACAACTTCTTTGACTCCATCAACCCTTACACTACAGCTAGTATTGCTTGCCCAGAGAGGTCTACTTCTGCAAGGAAAGAATAGATGTATACTAAAAGAAGTTGCATGGAAAACACATTTCTGGTTAAAATGATAACCTTTTAGAATTATTCAGAATACATTAAAAAATCCATGCATACACTTCCCAATCCATTCTGCTTATGTTAGCTACCCCAGATCCACTTACATTAGCCTGACTAGACCTCCCTCAGCAAGAGAGAAGGGTCATAGTTATGTATGTGAATTGGTGTGGGTAAAGGCTAGATATTTTCAGCTTTGTAGGCCATAGTCTATGTTGAAATAACTTAACTCTGCCATTGTATCTTGAAAGTAGCCATAGACAATATGAGTAAGTATGACTGCTCTCCAGTGAAACTTCATTTACAAAACAAGCGACAAACAGGCAATGGTTTACTAACCCCTGTTAGTAACTTTTTCAGGTTAGAATTCTAATAGTAACATCTGCTGAATATACCTCATTTTCTTATGAGTATTAGCTTAATCCTACACATAAGTCTTTTTTTTTTTAAACCTCAACTTATATTTCTCTTCTTCACTATTTCCCAAACCTCTATAATTTTATGGTGTCTTTTTCAATAAGTGACAGGGAGAAGGCAATCTTCATTCATAGGATAGAAACTCTAGAAGCCCAGATTGATTCCTTAATGTGGCTGTGGCCACCTGCTGGTTCTGTAACTCTGTTGCAACTTTCCAGGTTGCTGTAGAAATTTCCAGTAGTCCAGTAGTTCCTTCTCTATCTAAGACATATAATCACTAGAGGAACTTTTTAAAAAATGCTCAGGTCCCGCCTCCAGAGATCTCATTGGTTTAGGTTAGATAGCAGTTTTAGTTTTTTTTTTTTTTTAAATAAAGCCCTTCCTCTTTGCCTCAGATGATTCTAAGAAGCAGCCAGCTTTGAGAGTCATGTGCTAGTTCAACTGGATGCCTCATTGTTGCATTTAAAAAGCAAAGTTGAATTTAGTGGCACCAGATGGTATTTATATTTGGGTTGTGGGGTAAAGCTCTCCCTCCCAGCATCAAGTTGCTCCCTGTGTTCACTCTCCAATACCAACCAGTCTGCCACTGTTAAGAGACATATGGGTCACATAGATAATTCTTATAATTAATTGCTAATTACATTAAGGAAGAATTTACTTTGGGGCTGACAAGTCATAAAAAGATAAAATGGAGTTGTTGAAATTCAGTCATGTGTAAAAAAGGAAAACCAGCAAATGACTACATTTATATGGTACACCAGTTTTGAGTTACAACACACCAAGAGAAGGTTTTTATGTGGTGATTACATGATGTAATTACAGAAGGTAATTAGATCTGTTTTCTGTATGTGAAAAGCACAGTTGATTGATTTGGATAGTCAATTTAAATCATCTACTGCAGTTTCTCTTTTGGGGGTAATCTTTATAGACTAATCTCTCTCCTAACTTACATCTTTTCTTTCTGAAATAACTATCTTTCTAATATCTGAAACTTTTATTGTTATTAGATTCCTTTCATATTTTAAATTTATATTTTGATGTAGTTAGAAAGCAAGTAATAGTGCTCATTTTTACACAAAAATAGACTTAAAAGAAGCATTATTGCATGTTTGTGGTAGATTTTCTTTTTACAAAATCATTGAATAAAATCAGAAAGTGAAGCTTGTATATAGATTAAATCATTATAAGATTACTAAATGAACTAAAAAAAGACTTTCAGAACTAAAATACTTAGTAGTTTCTTGATGACTCAGTATGTCCAGAAGTGTATTCTAAGTGTCCGTTTGAGGTAGCTAGACCTGTGACATTTTCTAAGCAGAACCCTGCATTCAAACAAGATTACATTCTGAGGTTCTGGATGGACATTAATTTGGGGGGACACTATTAAACCTAGTACAGTTACAGTAAGAATGTGTACTGTCTTATTATTGTTTTTCTTCTGTTTGTCCAGTAGATTGTAAAAACTTTCTAACAATGAAAGAAATTAAGGTTTTGCAAAAAAAAAAAAAAAATTTAAAAGCTCTATTTTAATACTATTATATATTTAAAACTTTGTTTCTTTCTCAATATGGTATAAAATGAATGATCCCTAGTACATTTTCTATTATGGATTTAAAAAATGTAATTCTGGATTTTTGCTACCTTTTAAAAATGCTTTTTTCTTTATTTTAGGACTGCAGCATTCAAGAAAAAATAGACTTAGAAATTCGAATGCGAGAAGGCATATGGAAGCTCCTTTCTCTGAGCACTCAGAAAGACCAGGTTTTACAGGCAGTTAAGAATCTCATGGTGTGCAACACTCGAATAATGGCTTACACATCGGAGCTACAGAAATTAGAAGAGCAGATTGCAAATAAAACTGGAAGATGGTTAGTAGCACAGTTTATCTATGACTTTTAATGTACTTGAATATTTGAATTGAAAATACAATATAATTTAAATATAAGTACAAATCACCATACCTTTTTAAGCATTTTAACAATAGGACTCGGGGTGAACTATTAAGCAGCAGTTTTCATTGGGCAATTTGTTGTGCTCAACATGTAACAATACAAGGAAAGTGACTAAGAAACAAGGAGTAAGGGGATATTTAAGAGGAAAGAACTAATGTGAACTGATGAGTACACATAGAAACGTAGACTTTTAAAAAATGAATTGCTTAGAGACCTGTTAGTAAAAAGGTACTGGTTAAGAATAACAGAAACTTAGATAAGGAAATTGAGATGAGTGGGCAGCAAAATTATAAACATAAAAAAAACTTATGAATGGAAAGAAATGTAAAAATCTTCTAGCATATCCCTTCAGATGATGAACATAAGTTATAGAGAGGCAAGGAATTTACTTAAGGGCATGTAACTAGCTAGTGACAAGCTAATGAGAGTTAGGATTTGCTAAGTAACTTCTGAACCTTTGTGCTATCGCTCTTTGCTGCCTTTTAGATTAGATCTACAATTTGTATATGAAATTATATTCTATCCTATTTGCAATGCCAGTTCTAACTTTGACCTAACAATCTACTCAATTTAGTGACTAGATGTTAGTGTCTTTTTCAATAGGAATAGTCCTACATCTCTCTTTGTTGATTAGCCTTATAGCTCTGGTACAAGTGAAAAGTTTCTTTGTAGACATTAGTAGCCATTGTGCTGGTCACTACTTGGAAAGTAAGGTAAAAACAGGTAGGAGAAGCTGGGTATAGTATTATGGCACATGCCTATAATCCCAGCTACATGGGAGACTGAAACAGGAGGATCACAAGTTTAAGGCCAGCCTAAGTAATTTAGTAAGACCCTGTCTAAAATAAAAAATAAAAAGGGCTGAGGATGTAGCTCATCAGTAGAGTGCCCTAGGTTCAACCTCAGTACTGTAAATAAATAAATAAATAGAACAGTTTAGAGAAGATTTTTGTAAAAATAAAATATTAACAAGATCATGATTTAATAGAGACCTGGGTACAAAGTAGCCAAACTTACTAGTTGTATTGCTTTTGGATAGCTATTTTCATCTCTGTGTCTCAGTTCTTTCATTACGGTAGGCATGATAATATTTACCTTTTAAAGATTGAGATAAAAAAATACATATGTAAATAAATATGAATAAACCTAATGTAACATCTTTTGTATATATAATACTCAACAAATGTCAAATAGTTTGTTTTGTGTCCATGCATTATTAATAAATTGTTCCAGTATCATAATATAGGAAAATATTTTTCAGATAGACATACATTGATTTAACTCAGTACTTTTCAAACAGGTCATGAGTCACTAAGTATAGATTCTGTGTCCAAAGATAGATAGTCTTTTAATAAATAATGACACATCTCCTTAGAACATGAACTTTGAAGATGAAGCATAAAACTTTAGAATGTGGTAGAGTTTTTAGTTGTGTTCTCAGCTTTCATAGGGGTTTTGTTGGGAGGCAGTTTCAGTGGAAAATTTTGAGAAGTACTGCTTAAAAACGTGTAGGACTAATCTGGGTGTGGTGGCTCAGGAGACTGAGGCAGGAGGATCAAGAGTTCAAAGCTAGCCTCAGCAAAAGTGAGGCACTAAGCAACTCAGTAAGACTCTGTCTCTAAATAAAATTTTAGAGCTGGGGATGTGGCTCTGGTCTAGTGCCCCTGAGTTCAAACCTTGGTACCCACCCCACAAAAAGTAAGTGTAGGATTAAGCATTTCATATTTTATCATTTTTCGTGGTGTCATGGTTTCTACAATATTCTTCTGTGAGCCATAACTACCTCCATATTTAGTGCTTTATTTATAATAAATTATGAATTGGGAATTTTCTTAATTTGGCAGCTTAAATTTTCAGAAGTTGCTGATTTATAAAAACATTAAATAAGCTTAATCTCTATTAAATTTATATAGTAAAGATGAGGAAAAATTTTGGAACGCCTATTTAAAAGTGTATGAATTTTAATTTTTTTCTGATCTTTGATAGATAAAAATATCTTTGTTTCTATACACACATACTTGTTCATCTTTCATATAAACCATTGTTACCTTCGCTTATTGAAGTATTTGTAGAATTTAATGAAACCTTGAATATTCTGAATGGATTTTTTTTCTCACAACTTTATTTTGTATATACTCTTAGAACCTGAGTTCACTGATCAAATAAAACTAGAAATTATAGTACTTGATTTCTTTCTTATCTTTTTAAATTGAGGCATTATAATGATATATAAAGTTGGAGTGCTTTGTGGTGTATTCCTGCATGCACCCAATATAATTTGGTCAGCTTTATTCCACAGTTTTTCCTCTTTTGCTCCCTCTTCTCTCTCCCTCTGTCCCCCCATTTCTACTCTCTCCTTTCTATTTTCACAAAATTGCCATTTTTAAAAAAATTTCTTTTTTCTCTCTAGCTTCTGCATATGAGAGAAATACCTGACCCTTGACTTTCTGATTCTGGCTTATTTCACTTAGTATGATGTTCTCCAGTACTATACAGTTACTAGCAAATGACATAAGTTCATTTTTTGTTTTGGCTAAGTGAAACTTCATTATCTCTATGAACCACATTTTCTTTTTTTAAAAATTAGTTCTAATCAATTACAGATGACAATAGAAAGCTCTTCAATTCATAGTACACAAATGGAGCAGAATTTTTCACTTCTCTTGTTGTTCACGAGTTAGAGTCACAACATTCGTCAATCATACATGTACCTAGGGTAATGATGTCCTTCTCTTTCCTATCCCCTTGCTCCCTCCCACCTCTCATTTGTCCCATCCAAAGTTCCTCAGTCTCCTGAGCCACTGGGATTACAGGTGTGCACCACCACGCCCAACTTAGTTTTACACTTTCTTAAGCAGTACTTCTCAAACTTTTCCACTGAAATTGCCTCCCCACAAAATCCCCTATAAAAGCTGAGAACAAAACTCAAAACTCTACCACATTCTAAATTTTAATGCTTCATCTTAAAAGTTCATGTCTAAGGAGATGTGCCATTATTTATTAAAAGACTGCCTATCTCTGAATGCGTAATCTATATTCATCCCATGCTGGATGGATTATGGATTAGCATATACTTATGGATTATGGATTAGCATCTACTTATCAGAGAAAACATTTGGTCCCTGGTTTTTTGGGACCCCAAAACGCTTATTTTAGTTACCTTGATATTCTCCAACTTCATCCATTTACCTGCAAATGTTATGAATTTATTCTCTTTTAATGCTGGGTAATACTCCATTGTGTATATGTACCACAGGTTCTTTATCCATTCATCTATTGAAGGACATCTAGGTTGGTTCCACAGTTTAGCTATTGTAAACTTTGCTGCTATAAACATCTATGTGGCTGCGTCACTATAGTATGCTGTTTTTATGTCCTTTGGGTATAGACCAAGGAGTGGGATAGCTGGGTCAAATGGTGGTTATATTCCAAGTTTTCTAAGGAATCTCCATACTGCTTTCCAGATTGGTTACACCAATTTGCACTCCCACCAGCAATGTATGAATGTGCCTTTTCCTCAACATCCTCACCAAAACTTATTGTTGCTTGTATTTTTGATAACTGCCATTCTGATTGGAGTGAGATAAAATCTTAAAGTATTTCTGAATTGCATTTCTATATATATATTATATATATATATATATATATATATATATATATATATATATATAAAACTAGAGATGTTGCATATTTTTTCATATATTTGTTGATTGATTGTATATCTTTTTCTGAGACGTGTCTGTTCAGTTCGTTAGCCCATTTATTGTTTGTTTGTTTTGATGTCAAGTTTTTTGAGTACTTATATATCCTGGAGATTAGTGCTCTATGTGATGTGTGTATGGCAAAATTTGCTCCCAAAATGTAGGCTCTCTCTTCACCTTATTGATTGTTTCTTTTGTTGAGAAGAAACTTTTTAGTTTGAATCCATCCCATTTATTGATTCTTGATTTTATTTTTTGTGCTTTCCAAGTTTTGTTAAAGAAGTCAGATTCTAAGCCAACATGTTGAAGATTTGGGCCTCCTTTTTCTTCTATTAGGTGTAGGGTCTCTGGTCTAATTCCTAAGTCCTTGATCAATTTTGAATTGAGTTTTGTGCATGGTGAGAGAGAGAGGTTTAGTTTCATTTTGCTGCACATGGATTTCCAGTTTTCCCAGCACCATTTGTTGAAGAGGTTATTTTTTTCTCCAGTGTATGTTTTTGGCATCTTTGTCTAGTATAAATAACTGTTTTTATGTTGGTTTGTCTCTGTGTCTTCTTTTCTGTACCATTGGTCTACTACATGTCTGTTTTGGTACCAATACCAAATACCATGCTGTTTTTGTTACTATAGCTTTGTAGTATAGTTTAAGGTCTGGTATTGTGATGTGTCCTGATTTACTCTTCTTGCTAAGGATTTCTTTGGCTATTCTGGGTCTCTTATTTTCCCAAATGAATTTCATGATTGGTTTTTCTGTTTCTATAAGGAATGACCTTGGGATTTTAATTGGAATTGCATTGAATCTGTATAGCACTTTGGGTAGTGTGGCCATTTTGACAATATTAATTCTGCCTATCCAAGAGCACTGGAGATCTTTCCATCTTCTAAGGTCTTCTTCAATTTCTTTAGTGTTCTGTAGTTTTTATTGGAGAAGTCTTTCACCTCTTTTGTTAAATTGATTCCCAAGTTTTTTTTTTTTTTTTAGGCTATTGTGAATGGGGTAGTTTTCCTAATTTCTCTTTCAGAGGAGTCATCACTGATGTATAGAAATACATTTGATTTATGGGCATTGATTTTATATCCTGCTACTTTGCTGAATTAATTTATTAATTCTAGAGTTTTCTGGTGGAGTTTTATTAGATTCTCTATGTATAGAATCATGTCATCAGCAAATAATGATAGTTTGAGTTCTTCTTTTCCTATTCATATTCTTTCAGT